CCTTTTCATCTTTATCCACTAAGTTCCCCTTTTCATTTGAATCCACAGAGTTCCCCTTTAAATCTGAATCCACAGAGCTCCCCTTTACATCTGAACTTACAAAGTTCTCTTTACATCTAAACTCGCAGAGTTCCCCTTTACATCTGAACATGCAGCGTTCCCCTTTACACCTGAATTCTCAAAGTGCCCCTTTACATCTGAATTCTCAGAGTGCCCCTTTACATCTGAATTCTCATAGTGCCCCTTTACAGCTGAATTCTCAGAGTGCCCCTTTACATCCGAACCCGCAGAGCTCCCCTTTTCATCTGAACTCACATAGCTGCCCTTTTCATCTGAATTCACAGAGCTCCCCTTTAAATATGAATCTGCAGTGTTCCCCTTTACATCTGAACATCCGTAAGGGGGAATTCTGATGTAAGGGAGAACTCTGGCGACTCTGATTTGAGGAAGAACACTGCAAACTCTGATGTTAGGGGGAACACTGCAGACTCAGGTGTAAAGGGTAACTCTGATATAAGGGGGTCACCAATTACATAATTTTCCAGCATTCCCCTTTAATCAGGGTTCCCATAGCCCTGTTACATTAGAGTCTGCACAATTTCCACCTACACTGTAAAGGGGGAGCTCTGTGGACTGTAATGAAAAGGGGAACTCTGATGTAAGGGGTGCTCTGGGAACCCTGAGGGGGGCTCTAATGGAAGGGGGAATGTTGTGGCCTCTGGTGTTAAGGAGAACTCTGATGTAAGAGAGTATCTGCTCATCAAAGCCCCCTTACATCAGAGACCACAGAGCACCCTTACATCTGAGTCCCCCTTTACATTACAGTCCACAGAGCTCCCCTTACATTAGTGTATTCAGAGCCTGGAGAGAGAAGGGAGGGGGGACATTACAAACACCATGGATGGTGAGATCACTCACCCCAGGAAGGAGGTTCAGGCAGGGTGCACATTTCCTCTTCTCTACCTGCTAGCTGCTGGGCTTTCCCAATCCCACCCACTCATCCCCTTTGTGAAGCACAGTGCTGCTGAGATTTGAATGTGGATGGGGCCATAGGAGCACACAGTAGGAGAGGGGTGGAAGGAGGAGGATCTCATCTGTGAGAGGAGGAGGGGGCAAGCTGTCAGTTCTCTCTGCTCGCAAGTGCAGCCAGCAGCTCTGCTGTGGAGCCACAGTCTGGGCTCTTGGGGCCCCCCACAGTGGCATTACTCCAGAAGTGCAACCTTTGTGACCCTGGTAGTTCCACCACTGGGTCACCGCGTTTGTCACACTCACCCCTTAGTGATTGCTCATGGGCTCTGTAGTTTAATTTCAGCTTAACTGCGAATAAAGTTCTGCTTTCAGCCTACAATTCCCAGAATTCTCTGAACACCTGTACTAAGGGTCTGATGTGTAAAAGTGCCAAACACTGCCATCTTGTGGGTAAATACAAATCTGCATTCACTGTAACAATGCACAGTGTTACACATAAAACACATAGCAAATACATAAAATTTTGAAAATGTAAGTCTAGATCCAAACTGATATTAATTTCTAGAAGCGTTTCGAAGTCTACCACCACTTCTTCGAGATCAAAGAGTTGACAGTGTGCATGTATCATATCAGTTGGTCTATAGACTAAGTGGATAACAAGAAGGTAGGTAGTACTTATAATCAAACCTGCCCCAAACCACCATAAAATAATACCTGAAAATTTAAAGGAAAAAAGAAAGCTGAAAAAGCAAACCAAATTCTCCTTAAGGCCTGGCTCACACCTATGCATTTTTTTCAGTGCGTTTTGCAGAAACGCACTACAGTCCATTTAACATGGTTTCCTATGGGAAATGTTCACATCTGTGCATTTTTGGCCGCTGCTTCTTTGGAAAGAGTCAGGGACTTTTTTTTTTCCACAGCAGATTGCAATGGAACCACACCAAAAATTCAAGTGGATGTTTTTTTATGTGTTTTGAATTTTTTTGTCAATAGGAAAGCATTGAGTGTGAATTTGATGGGACTTTAGTCTTCAGTCATGCGACTTCGCTTGAGATGTCTTTGCAAGTCACACCTAAATTTGTAAAAAGTAGTGCATGAACTACTTTCATTTGACTGCTTTCATTGTGGACAATAGGGTGCAACTTGTCATGTGATTTGAAACTATCAAACCGCATGACAAGACGCAGAGGTGTGACGGGGGACTAACACTCTCTGGCACTCAAGTTGCATCAAAGTAGTGCAAGAATTTTTTCAAAGTCGCTGCGAGACTGAGAACTGCGACCTGGTACTAACACGCAGCAAAACCCATCTCCACCATCAGGAGCTCTGGTGAATATCAGTTAGTGCTTAGACCCCGCACCTTAGGTGAGCCTGCGTCATCTCCAAGGGTGGCCTGCTTGTTTACCTATCTTGTTGGTTGGTCTGCTGCTACAGCTACTGGTCTCTGAACCTGACCTCACACCTTGACAAGGGGGCTTTCAGATTCTGATAAGTCACCCCACAGCCCAGGGTTGTAGGGAAGAGGCCCTTGTCCCCATCAACATGGGGAGAAGGTGCTCTGGGGGGGAGCCCCCCTGCCACCCCATGTTAAAGGCATGTGGCCTGGTATGGATCAGGAGGGGGAGGCGTTCGTTCATCCCCCCCTTTCCTGTCCTGCCAGCCCAGTGCTTGGATCAAGGGTCTGGTGAGAATTTAGGGGAACCCCATGCTTCCCCCCCATTTTTGGGGGATTGGGTTCCCCTTAAAAGTCCTACCAGGCCTAAAAGGCTTTTAGGGGGAACCCCTCACTTTTTAAAAACATATTTTTACCGTGGGGTCCCTCCTAATCTTCCTACCAGACCTAAAGGGAACCCCCTACTGTTTTTTTTGTTTTGTTTTTTTTAATAAACATGTCATTTAAAAAAAAATGTCAGTCCTGCTGCAGCAGATTCTATACATTGTACAGATGTCCAACTTTGCAGGTAGTTTAAGGGGACCCCCCCCCCCACAGCATGATATTTAAAGGAATTTATCTTTTTTTTTTTGCTTTAAGCAATGAAGAATTACTGCCCCTATACAAATAGTATTTTTTTTCCACTGATCCATGTCCCTCAGGGCAGTACCTGAGTCCTCATACTCCTTTTAATGGCCAATAACTTGCATATAAGCCTTCATAATGGGTAGGGGAAGGGGGGGTCAGCCCATTACTAGTAATAAGCAATCATAGTGTTAAAAAAATAAAAAAAAACTATATATATATATATATATATATATATATACACACTATCACCTCTCCACTGTAGTACAGTGTTTAAAAAAAAAAAAGTAAAGTAAAAAAACAAAAATCTAATATGAAGGAAAAAAAAAATTTTTTTTTAAATTGTTACATTTTTTTTTCTTTACATACTGTCACCAGTGTCCCTGATCACTGTCACACGAGTTATATGATGACACTGTACTGTACTGGTGACCGTATGTGAAAAATAAAATGAAAAAAAACTATTAAAATTGTGACAAAAAAATAAAAATTTCAAAAAACTCGCCATGCCTCTTACTAAATACCTTGGACTGTCTGATTTCCAAAAAGGGGTCATTTGGGGGGTATTTGTACTGTCCTGGCATTTTTGGGCCTCACAAAATGAGATCAGGCCGTCAATACATCAGAATTGATGATTTTCAGATTTATATCCCATAGTTTGTAGACTCTATAACTTTCCTACAAACTAAATAATAAACACTGATTTGGGTTATTTTTACCAAAGAAATGTAGCATCCTAAATTTATGAAGAAAGATTAATTCAATTAAATTTTCACCACTGGTGATTAAGTACCAACCAGGGGTGGACTGACCATTTGGAAACTCGGGTACTGCCCGAGGGCCCGGGGTCAGTAGGGGGCCCCATGAGATGCCACTGGTACCTTTTTCATAGGCTTTTTTGAGTTTGGGCAAGGACACAGGGGCCCCATGATCCCCTATTGCCCCATGAGTTGTCAGTCCGCCGTTGGTACCAACAACAGTAATCTCTATTTGTTTGAAAAAATAATATGGGTACATATGGGTACAGTGTTGCATGACTGCACACCGTGTTCATATGGGTACAGCGTTGCATGACTGCACAATTGTCATTCAAAGTGTGACCATGTTGAAAGCTGAAAATTGGCCTGGGCAGGAAGGGGGTGAAAGTGCCTGGTAGTGAAGTGATTAATATATGCAAATTTGACACCAAATCCTTTTTTAACAAATTCATAAATGGTAAAAATGTCACAGAAAATGATCATGCATAATAAAGTCCCAAAAAGAAGAGTTTGTGCATTGTGACTCCAAACACACTCAATCAATACTTCCACGTGCCATGAATGTAATACCAAAACTCCAGTGCAGTACTCAGCATATATTCGTGATCACCTCAGTGTAAGGATGTACCCTCACCTTCACATGTAAACCCATATGCCAGTATAGGTCATATGCATCTTTCCCAGATCCTCTGGGGCAACATAGGTGGGTACCGGGTCTCTTCAACCTTCTTTTGACACCATTAGATACACTATATTGCCAAAAGTATTGGGACGCCTGTCTTTACACGCACATGAACTTTAATGGCATCCCAGTCTTAGTCCGTAGGGTTCAATATTGAGTTGGCCCACCCTTTGCAGCTATAACAGCTTCAACTCTTCGGGGAAGGCTGTCCACGAGGTTTAGGAGTGTGTCTATGGGAATGTTTGACCAATCTTCCAGAAGCACATTTGTGAGGTTAGGCACTGATGGGCCATCCCCAAACTGTTCCCACAACGTTGGGAGCATGACATTGTCCAAAATGTCTTAGTATGATGATACCTTAAGAGTTCCCTTCACTGGAACTAAGGGGCAAGCCCAACCCTTGAAAAACAACCCCACACCATAATCCCCCCTTCATGAAACTTTACACTTGGCACAATGCAGTCAGCCAAGTACAGAGAAGTGTGATTTGTCACTCCAGAGAACACATCTCCACTGCTCTAGAGTCCAGTGGAGGCATGCTTCTACACCACTGCATCCAAAACTTTGCATTGCACTTGGATGCAGCTGCTCGGCCATGGAAACCCATTCCATGAAGCTCTCTATGCACCGTTGTTGTGCTAATCTGAAGGCCACACAAAGTTTGGAGGCCTTTAGCTATTGACTCTGCAGACAGCTGGCGACTTCTGCGCACTATGCGCTGACCCCATTCTGTCATTTCATGTGGTCTACCACTTGATGGCTGAGTTTCTGTTGTTCCCAGTTGCTTCCACTTTGTTATAACACCAGTTAACCAGTTTGACCGTGGAATATTTAGTAGCAAGGAAATTTCACGGATGGACTTTTTGCACAGGTGACAACCTATCACGGTACCACGCTTGAATTCACTGAGCTCCTGATAGCGACCCATTCTTTCACAAATGTTTGCAGAAGCAGTCTGCATGCCTAGGTGCTTGATTTTATACACCTGTGGCCATGGAGGTGATTGGAACACCTACGTCCAATGATTTGGAGGGCTGGCCCAATACGTCTGGTAATATAATGTATATATCACTTTAAAGTAGTTCTAACGGCTGGAGATTTTTTAACTTCATGCATTGTAACTTTTGTTGTCTCTGCTTGCTGGGATAATCCATCCCTATTGCCTTGGGTAATTCCCTTTTTGTGCTGTTAAAATTGTATTGCTGGAGAATCAAACTTCAACAAAGTAGCTTACTGTTCTCCCCAGATAAGAACTAAAATTTTGACTCAAACCAAAAAAAAAAAAGAGTTTTAAGTTCTTAATCAGATGATACACGCAATTAAAAACATGGGACAAATACGTCCCTTGGTCCTCAAAGGGTTAACCCTTTGAGGACCAAGGGACGTATTTGTCCCATGTTTTTAATTGCGTGTATCATCTGATTAAGAACTTAAAACTCTTTTTTTTTTTTGGTTTGAGTCAAAATTTTAGTTCTTATCAACAAACAACAAATTGATCTATCTTTTTGCCAATTATTTCATGAAATGGCTTAGTTACAGCAACTGAAGTGTACGAACTTTAAAAACAAAAAAATTGATTCTGTTGGCGTTCCAAAATCTTACGGTCCTCAAAGGGTTAACCGAATGGGTGGATGGTGATCACTGTGAAGCTGTGGCCATATAGTAACTGTTGCAGGTTCTGTAGTGCCCACAAGGCACTCCTTCTGAATGGTGGCATATTTTAACTCCCTGGGTATTAGCTTCCTGCTCAGGTGGAGTATGGATGTTTCCAGGGCCAGTGCTAGATTATTCCCCCCCCCCCCCCTCCCCCAAAAAATAAAACTTTACCTGTAGTTCTACTATCCCTTCTAGCACACATTGTTTTTCCCCTCAAATTTTCAACCCTAGCACAACTCACCTCCCCTAAATCCCTTCTCTTATATAAATCCCCCCAATCCTGCCTCTTAGCACAACTCCCTCCAAATGACCTTACCCAGCACAAATCTTTCCTCCCCACCTAAATCCCCCCTCCTAGCAAAAATCCAGCCTTCTAGCATAACTCCCTCCAAATGACCTTACCCAGCACAAATCTTTCCTCTTCCTAAATCCCCCCCTCCTAGCAAAAATCCAGCCCCCCCCTCCTACCCACACAAATCTTTCCTTCCCACCTAAATCCCTCCCCCCCCCCTAGCCCTTTCCCTCCTAACACTCCCCCCTCCCTTTCCCCCCTCCTAGCACAATTTTTCCCCCCTATCCCCCATCTTAACATGCCCTCCAATCCTCTCTCCTAGCATAAATCCACACACAATCCTCTCTCCTAGCACAAATTCCCACCCAATTCCCCCTCCTAGCACAACTCCCCTCCAACCCTTCCTCCTAGCACTGCTCCAGGCTGCTCTCCCCTTGTCTCAGTTGTGAGGCATTCAGTGGCCAGACACAGCACCCATGGAAAGACCGGCCTGTGATGGCAGAGAGTAGGGAAACCAGTGGCCATGGCTAGGTGGCAGTACACCGTAGGCGGCTGCTTAGTTCTCCTAGTGGTAGTACCGGCCATGGATGTTCCTCCTCTAACTGGTCAACCTGCTTCAGGACCACACCTAGGCCATAGGCCGAATCATTGGTTTGCATAAAAAAAGTTTTGAAATCTGGAGCTTGTGGTATAGGAGCACTGGCCAGTGTCTTTTCCAAGGCTAGGAAAGTCTTCTCACAATGTGATGTCTGTGACAGGTGCACACGATGTTCTTTCCAGATAGGGCTTAACACTTCAGAATCTTCTAGTTAGGTTACTGCAAATGCTTACAACAGATGATTCATGGCCCTCTAAAAGGTGGCTGGCACGTTCTATATCCCAAACATCATTACCATAAACTCATATGATCTGAATAGGGTGATAAAGGCTGATTCTCCCAAGCCTCAGGTGCTAAGGGAATTAGCCAGTACTTGGTGCTCAGGTCCATGATTGTTAGAGAGCAGGACACCACCAGTTTATCCAACAACTCATCGACCCTGGACATGAAGTAGGTAGTCATTTATTAATATGTAATCTATGCAGAACCTCACCGTCTAATCCTTTTTGGGGACCATGATTATTGGTAATGCCCATGCACCTTGGGACTTCTGAATGACCCTTAACAGCAGCATCTCCTTAGTCTTCTTCTTCATATCTGCTTGCGCCTCCAGTGTGATTTAGTAGGCAGACTGATGGAAGGATTCCCCCTGTGTCTACCTTGTGAAATGGAAAGTTTCCCTGTGAACGGTCACAGTGTGCCGCAAAACACCTCCAATATCTGAGTTTTCTGTGTGGATGAGAGGTGTGAATTGATCTTGAGGTCTGCTTCTAACTTTTGAATTTCAGCTAACAAGTTGAACAGTGGGCCTGCCTCTTCCTGTTCAGGTTGGCTGCAAACTGGCATTACGTATGCTCTTCTTTCATGGTGTGTTTTGAGGATGTACATATTGAATGTTTTCTGTCATCTACATCCTTCTCTCAAACTTACCTTACAAGATACATTACATTACAAGGCATTTTGTGAAGGGATATGGCCCTTCTAATGCTGCCTGTAGTTTGTCCTGCCACATCAGGAGTAGAACATACATTTTCTGATCCACGTTGCAAGTTTACTTTCTGGCATTGCACTCAGGGCTGTGGATAAGGGGGTACCACCAGTCCTTCTGTATGGGGCCCAGGCCAGCAGGGGTTCAGGCAGCTGGGTGATCAGCAAGGTGTACTTACTGGAACCAATCCCCTGCATTGCCCTCTCTGCAGCAGCTGAAAGCTGGCATCTTCTCCTCTCCCTCCCTCTGGCTTTCAGCTGCTGCAGAGAGAGCCATATAGAGGAACGGTTCCAGTAAGTGCCCCCCTGCTACACCTATCACCCTTTTTGTACACCATACGTGTTTGCTGTGTGGGACCTGTGTTTTCTAGGGCTACATGTACGCTGAAGCTCCCTTGGACGCCCAGCTCTCCTGGATACTGATCACTCACTGTGTTCATTCATAACTAAAGCATAGTAAACTGATTTTCTTTGGGGGGGGAATCTCTCAGGTTGGCTGTTTGGGGCCTGTGGTTTCTAAGGCTACATGTGCGCTGAAGCTCCCTTGGATGCCCAGCTCTCCTGGACACTGAAAAACACTAAACGCGGTAAAATGTGTGTAAACATGGTAACACACCTAACCGCATTTACCCACATTTAGCTGCATATAGCACTCGGGCGTTTATTAATTTCATTGGCCAGAGCATTTGCCATTGAAATGAATAAACGTCCAAACGTTAACACACGTTTTTGTCATGTTTTGCATTGTTTTGGCCAAAACGTTCCTCTCCTGAATGCAATTCTTCTGTATTTAGGAAAGGGATGTTTAACTGCCCCTCAGCGCTGCTGCTGGTAAACTCTGATAAAAGCCTATGTGTGCATGAACACGTAGGCTTTTATTGAGTTGAGTTCAGGGTCTTTGGCAAAAAAATCCTACAGTAAACTCCACATTTAGGAGCAGCAGTGTACATGAGGTCTAACAGCAGCCCTGACTATACCAGTGTTATTGCTTGACCTAAGCCTGCATCATGTTCTCCTATACAATCCCAACTAGTGTCTCCATTTAGTCCCAGAACATTAATACATTAGTGCATAACACACCACAGAGACCTCAGGGACAGCAATCTTGCCCTTCCAACTCTTGGATTAAGTCCAAGAGTCCTCTTTCCCTATAGCATTTCAAATGGTGAAAAGCCTGAAGACTCCTGGGTTGCCTTTCTGTAGGCAAACAGCAAGTGAGCAAATATCATTCACAGTCCTTTCCCACAAACCTCCACAGCATTAGTTTCATAGTCCCATTGAAATTCTTGTAGAGGCCACTTATTTGTGGGTGGTAAGGGCTAGCCTCAATACGCGTCATCTGTATTTCCTGGCAAAAACATGCATGAGGTTGGGTAAAACCTGCTCAGTGAGGAGTCCTGCAGCTAACCCTATGCCCTTAAAGATCCCAGCAAGGCATCAAGTACCTTGTCCACCCTTCGGGGAGAATAGTGCCATGACCTCTGGGCAACTGGAGGCAAAGTCCATTACTTACAGGATGTATTGTTTACCTGAACTGCTGGAGATGGCTAGTGGGCCAATGAGATCCACTACCCTCTTTAAAGGCTCAACAATTACAAGAACGGTTGAAGTGGAGTCCTATGAAAGTCTCCTGCCTTGCCAACCTGCTGGTAGCTATCACATGATCGAAAGTAGTTGGCTATATCTGTACAATTAGGCCAGAAATGCTCCCTGTACAGCATTTCATGGGCCCAGTAAGAGTTTTCTCCAGACATAATCAGTTTGCAGTGCTTGCTCAAAGACAGCCTCTGGAGTGAATGAGGACAGCAGCTGAAGCTGACCGGAGGTCCAGTGGTTCAGAGCTGAGAAAAGGGCTATGGATACCAGAGACTGTGCCTCAACAGCATTTGCAGAACTAAGAGTGACCACTTGATCTTGTTTTTTTTTTTTGCATGTATTTTCCCTTTAAATTCCAGTTAGCAAGCCCTCATCAAAAAAAAAGTGTGTATTGCCCTCCAAAACCATTACTAGATCCTTAAATGCGATTTCCTTTTAACCTTTTTTTTTTAATAACCAGGGGTCATTGATGCCTGGATAACCAAACCAAACTTGAAAATAACCCTTTGACTTATATGCATGCCTAAATAATATGTATATATTGTATTTAGGACATTTAAACCATTTACTTTTATGTTTAAAAAAAAACCTGCTCTGTTTTTATTGTAGGCTGGCAAATGTGCAAAAACATTTTTACATTTTTAATTAATTTTTGAACAGTGTGTGGGTGGACTTTTGGGAGTAAGAACAGCAGAATTATTTTGCTGAGAAATAAATCAATGTATGCATGTGGAGAAGTACAGAGAAGACTAATCTAAATTTGTAGTCCAGCAGAACAGAACTCAAGCAGGGCTGACAACATTGCAGCACAGTAAGATTGAAATGCTGTGAA